ATGGCTCAAGGACATTCTACACCTATCACCGAATATGAATCAAAATGAAGATGCGTTGTCACCCCTAAGGTCTATGATCTCTTTTTTTATTATTTAAAAACGTTACCTCCACACTAGGATTTTCTCCTATATCGCGGGGGCATTTTACATACATAGATTTCACAAGAACAAAGATCCAGATCCAGAACAATTATCTGCGGATTCGATTCCGCGGCCTTAGTGCCGCAACTCATTGCTAAGCCACTGCTCCATGAAGCCGTCAAACAAGAAGATGGTATGTTACAAGTAAAAAGGGTCTCTAGTTCTTTACACTCACTACTAAACAACTACTAAACAGACCAGCATTATTCTGCTGTTTTTAAACTGGTATTCTGGTCTAGTCTGAAGAGCGTGGTTCTACCACGTCGTAATCGTAGCAAAATCCGCGTAACTGACTGAGAGACACGTAAGCTCGCTAACACGCACCGGGTGGTGCTGTGGGAATTCCCTTGGAACAAAATTTTTTCAGCACAATTTTGCTGCTGCTGTGATGCATCAGAAACTTTAAACAGGCAAATAAACGTGATTATGTTAAATTAGAGTAGATATAAGAAATCATGATATTTTCAGCTTCTTTAGATAGACGTTGGTCATTACTTTCTAATGAAGCTGATATGTTTTTCATCCGACTGCAAGAAACGGAGAAGTTTCGACAACATTTTCATTCTTGTTATGTAAGTATGTGACCATTAATATAGAAAAGTTGAGCAATATGAAGCAAAAGTAATGATATTTAGAGGTATTGGTACTAGACGTAAAATCAAAATCAAATAACGCATTTTCATATTCAACCCTTATCATATTCAGCAATATTATTTTCATAACTTAAGCTAGAGAGCGGGAGTATCAACATTACGAAATAATAGCTGTATAGTATTATAGAAAAACATTTAGTATTATTATAATGCTATATAAAATATTCCTAATATGAATTATTATATACGAATCTATAACCGATGAATAATATCATAGATTTCTGCAAAAAGTAACAAGATTTAGATAATTGCCTGAATTCTTCAGTATACCTTTTTTCATTTTTTAAGAGTGTGTGCTAGATTTTTGTCAGTCAACTTCTGGATGTAGGCCTTCAAGGGGATATTCGCCATAGTTACGACATTTGGCAGTCGGATTGGCAACCGCAGCCGCAGCCGTTGCAAACTGCTTTTTTATAGTATTAGGGTGACAAACGAGCACACAGTCCACCTGATGGTAAGTGGTTGCTGTGGCCCATAAACATCTACATCTATCTTCGATTATGAATCAAAATGCAGATACGTTGTCACCCGTGAGGACTAAGGTGGAATGCTTCTTTTCCAGTAAAAAGGGTCTCCGGTTCTCTACACTCACCATGCAAAACACAGCAGCGTTGAGCTGCTACTTTACGCTGGTATTCTGTGAGAGCGTGGTCCTTCCCCAGTCGAACTGACCCATTCGTGGTACAAATATACTACAAATAGCAGCAGCATGGCTCTACCACGTTAGGAAGACGCTGCAACTCCTCTCCTGGTGTTTTCCCTCAGTCGCGTCTTTTGCATTGTTTTTTCACAATTCTTTATGGCCAAACTTTGACTCCCACTAATCTCTAAAAAAATTATATATTTTATAGAATCAAACAAATTTTATTCCTCATATGAGCTCTAAAGTCTTTAAGTTTTACATACGTCTCAAGACTCGGCATTCCATCGCCTTGTAACACAATATCCGAATTTGTTTCTTGGCCTTCTATCTTAGTCCTCAGGGGTGACAACACATTCGTACTCATATTTTTTAAAAATGTATAAAATTGGCTGTAAGTGTGAATGCAGTAACCACTTACCATCAGGTGGACTAAAAGTTCCTTATTTCATCATTCGTCAAAAAAAAATTACTAAAAATGTATATTGCGATTAATTGGATATTGTTTGAAATAACCAAATTTTAAAGAATTAAATATACTAACTAGTAATTTATATTCTTTAATTCCGACAGAGCTTAATTGCCTGTAGATATTTATATTCTCGTATTTTTCTCAGTCACAACACAAACTAGACAAATTAAGGTCGAAAGAATTACATTTGTTCTGATTAGACGCCGTCGTATTCTTATATTTGTTTAATGGTTAAATGGAATAATATTTATATTACATATTTTATTTAGGTGTTAAAGCACTTCTTGTTTATTATTATATATATATTCGATTCCATTTTATAACATAAATATGACAAGACGTTAACTCTCTTCACTTGATGTTAAATAAATTCAAATATAAAATGAAATGTCATAAGGTGGACTTGTGTATTCGTTTGTTAACCTTTTTCTATATAAAAAGGTTACAAACAAAATTACTCTTCACCTGATAATTAGCGGTCACCTGTAAACTATCACACATAAACATCTAAAACGAAGAAGGATATAGCAGGGCTAGCATGGGCAGGAGACAATTTTATCCTCCGGGAAAAGAGAAAATGTTTATCCCCTCGCTTAATTTTATCCACCCTACGAGCATGGGCACATCGGTGGATAAAAGTCTATCTCTCATTATATCCACAGTAAATAAAATGAGAGATAGACTTAGACTTAGACAGATTTTTTGTATGAATATAAACTTAAACCCACGTTCAATGAACTAGGATAGAATTGTCCCTTTCAAATGCCAAAAAAAATAATTTTTATCTTTCATTTGGCTACATGCTGCGGATGGTGTATATATGTCTACTCGTTATGTCATACGGGGATATACTTCTCCCCGTTGCCGTGCTTTGGCATAGTGACAAGATAATTTTATCTCTTGTCAGTGGATATAATCGGGGGATACAATTTTTGTCCCCAGCCCATGCTAGCCGTGCTGATGCATTGTAGCTCATAGGAATAATATGAAATGCCACACAGCCTGTAAATAAACATTTTTCTTGACTTTCTAAAATTAATTTTTTGACATTTTTTTTTATTGGATAGTATGAGAAATGAGCACATAGTCCACCTGATGGTAAATGGTTGCTGTGGCCCATAGGCATCTACATCTATTCACGTTTGCGAATCAAAATGCAAATGCGTTGTCACCCGTGAGGACTAAGGTGGAATGCCTCTTTTCCAGTAAAAAGGATCTCCGGTTCTCTACACTCACCATACGAAGCACAGCAGTGTCAAGCTGCTATTTTACGCTGGTATTCTGTGAGAGCGTGGTCCTTCCCCGGCCGAGCCGACCCATTCATGCTACAACTATACTACTAATATAGCTCCAGCATGGCTCTAGCACGTAAAAAGAAATCATTATTACTTTTTAACTTTTTTAAGAATCATCCTGCAATGCATACATCTGTACGTGCCATTCACTTTAGGAACAATCTACAATAAACCTTAAATAATACCCTAGCTGAAATTATTTGCGCATTTCGAACCAAACAAGTGCTTCAAAACATTTTTAAATTTATTTTTGTATATAAAGCTGCTCGGCAGAATTCAAACATAACACAAACACAACTTTCAAATATTATCGAAGAATTTTAATAACAGATCAAAAATTATTCTAAAATGTTTTTGTACAAACTATGTAGCAAATAGTTCGTATATAGGTCGAGTTACTACGAGTTTACTGCTCCTATTTTAATACTGGATACCTGTTATGTATGACTTTTATTATTACAAAACGCTTACATAACAGCCGTTGATGTAAATACAGTTTAAATATAGGAAGAAAATATGTGGAAAATACATCAGGATGTTAATTGTTAAAAATAATAGCAGTGTGAGAGCGGATGGTTAACTTGCGGTCTACAATACGATCACACCGTAATATGTCCCCGTCACAATCCCACAGTAGTATAACGTGAGGAACGTATTTATTTTATAGAATTGATGAATATGACAAACGAGCACATAGTCCACATGCTGTGGCTCATAGACATCAACATTTATCCTCGACTAAGAATCAAAATTCAGTTGCGTTTCTACCCCTAAGGACTATGACGGAATGCCTTGATTCCAGTAAGGTCTCCGGTTCTCTATACTTACTATACGGAAGACAACAGCATTAAGCTGCCATTTTATGCTGGTATTCTGTGGGAGCATGGTCTTTGCCCAGTGGCGCCAACCCATTCATGCTACAACCATACATATATAATAATTATATGATAACACCAAATTATGCGAACAGCTACATTACTCATCTCAATATAAAACAGGGCAGTCTCTCAGCGACATGATCTTCCTTGCCTGCATTAGAACAATTATTACTACAACGGAAAGAACCACGATACCAACATTCTTCGTCAGTCAGTCAGTATTAGCACTCGTAGAATGACTTATGCGAAATCTTTCGCTCACGGCGCACTTTATACTCCACAAACGAGTAGGGTTTTCAGCCTGCAACGCTACCCCGCCACCATCAATATGACGCTCCGCTTTAGTGACGCAACCTCTCGGTCAACCTCTCGATCTAAACGGTATTTTATAAAAGCACTGTCAAATATAGCATTGTTATTCGCAAGCTAACTAAGGTAAGGAAAGTACAAATATTACGTTTAATGCGTTCACCGGTACATTGTACCTATTTTCGGTCACGGCGGCCAATCTTCAAGAAGACTAGCCATCTGCGTAGGACAGAATTATAGTGCACAAGTGTTTGCCGCTAGCTCGGATGCGCTCTCTCTTCCCTCACTCTTATAGTCCGAATTGACGGCAAACTGACACGACTGGAGAGAGATTAAGCGCAGGAAGTTTACGTGGTTTTTGAGTTTCGGCGCCGAAACACTGCCGACTTCCTGACGCCATGCAACTATTGAGAATTTCTTGATAGAAAAACACAGCACAGGTTGTTCACATATTGTGAACGAACGCTTGGCTCCCGAGATACCACGGCAATTCTCAAGAAGACTATAGGAATAAAAATCATTCGATTAATTCTATAAAATTTATTATAAACGTAGTAATAATTCATTTAGTACTTGACCTTTAAAACTCAAAATACCCACCACTAAATTAAATTACTGCGACTTTTTATCCTCAGTTTCATCGTCGCTATATATCTTTGGCGTCTCTCCCGGTTTTAGTAGCCGTCCTACGATATCATATTTTTCTGCAAGAAGAAAATGTTGCGTTTTAAAATGGATAAGGAAATTTTATTACCGTGTCGATAAAAATACAATAAATTTATAAAATTTTTAACCAATATGAATGTACATTTTTCAATATATCTCATACAAATATCACTAAGGCTAGTTTAGTTTACTAGTACTTTTACACTTTTACAGAGGTTCCATATAAATATTAATAATTTTAGTAATTGCAATATTTAAATCGCCTTTTTTATAATTTGACTAATGTAAGTAATAATTTACCTATTAAATTAATTTTAAACACTAATTTATTTTTATTTAAAAACTTTTATATATAAACCTTCATATAGCTTAATCAATCATTTAAACGTTACTTAAATAGCTGTGAAAATCATACAACATCAGACGCATTGTTAAAATTTTACATAAAAACTAATTAACAAAAATATTATCTTAATATCGTGTTATTCATTTGAAGTCTGGGAATAATATTATGTTCAAGTTAATTAACTAAAGAGCTAAGTAATATTTATAATTAAAGGAAAATTAATAATCAGGTATTGTATACAATAGTAGTTAGTTGAAAAGCCGTAATAAAGACGTTGATTTAATAATTTAAGCAAGGCTGTTAATACTTTAAATGACTTAATTAAAGTGATTTAAATAATTTTGTGGTAACAACGTCGTATTTCACAAAATATTTTGCGTTATAGAAATCACCACATCTACTTCTTATGTGAAAATATATGTCATCACACCACATCTAATTTATTTTAAAATAAACATTTATTTTTTCTCTAAAAGGAAAAAATTAAAAGATATCTTGCATCTTAAATGATTCCACACCCAAAATCCACTGTGCGACATTACTTTTTTTTACTATGCAAGTTATAAAAAATTAAAAACATGTAATCAACTACGGCAAGTATCATTTAACTGCAAGAAATAAGACATTCATTTATTTAGATTGTGAATCAAACCGATTGATTGGAAAGATGACAGGAGATTAAAAGTGGAGATACTCATCCTCGTTGCATCTCATCACAAGTCCACTGCTGAACCTAGGCCTCCCCCATATATTGCTTCATTGGGGGGATATTTGACGTAGTTACCACGCTTCGCAGTTATTTTTGTTACTACATATTTCTGTTATCAGAAAAATGCTGGTGCTCATCTCCTGTTTGTGTTATCCTCTGTCGTCTCTCACGATATCTCACGAGGTCACGATTCCTTTACACCGACTTTACTCAGCGGATAAATATTCTACTGTTACAAATTAAACAATACAAAAGTTTTATAATTCTCTATGAAAATAGTAAAATATTTTACCTTTATCGACTTACTTCGAAAAGAAGCCGGTACTCAATTCGACTGTATGTTTTTTATGTGTGTTACCTCATATCTTTTTAATGGGTGAACCGATTTCGATGATTCTTTTTTTTACTTGAAAGTTGATTAAAATTTGATCAAGGTCTGACCAATAGTTTTTGGGTTATTCTTATAATTTATTTTGAAGTCAGTTGTACAAAATTTTTAATTTCAAATTATTAATTTCTAATTAGAAATATAGCATATCATACCTCGGAACTGTTCCTCCCATTCTTTGGCTGAAGCGATTTCATCGGCAGTTAAGTCGCTGACATCATCATACTCCTTGTCTCCGGCTGCTACTTGTCCGGTAGCTAAGCCGCGAGTAGCATCTCTACCAGCAAAAGCCGAATATGGACCACCTATTAATAACAACATCAAAATCATATTTCACATGGTGGTTTTAAACCTAAATTTTATTTAGTTTACTGGTACTAAGCGAAACGGTCGCGGTCAAGTTAAAGCTTGAATAAATTAAAAACATATAGCTCAAAACACAAAATTTAAAGTTTCTTCATATTTTTGCTTACTGATTATATCTAGAGACAAAGTTACATAAATTAAAGTATGCACTACTAAAAAATAAACTTATCAAACAATGTCAAAAAAGTTGATTGTGGTTAAATTTTTTATATTTTGCTTTGTTTGAAGGATTCAAACTTAAATTAGTGAATATTAACTTTAATGTTATAATGAAATGCAGATAACTACATACTTTTTTGAATTTACGTAAAAGGTAATATTAATCGTGTGTGGTATGCTTGTGCAACGTGAAACGCCAAAAAGTATTTCTTAGATTTGGTGGAGTATAATACTTTTTACCTGTTTGTTATAGTTTCATCAAAATTTGAAAACAATGTTCGTATTTTATGATCGTCTAAATTACTTTAATTTTTTGTGTTTTATTACATAATTATAACCCCCAACCACCACACTAGCCATCTGCGCAGAATAGCAGTTGCTTTAAAGTAAAGCACCCGAAAAGTCAGGAATATACGAGGCAACAGGCGGATATAATCAAGATATACTAAAAGTTCTTTGTCCGTAGATCGGACCAAAAACAGCAAGTTTAATAATGACATTGGTATGTGAAAATCTTAGTCCCCCGTGATAAGTACCCGAAACGTCACTAATATAAAATAAGCTAATTAAAAGCCATTGAAGCTCGGCAACTATGGCAAATATCCTGACTATGAAGCAATCAATGAGGAGGCATATGTTTAGCGATGAACTATTGATAGGCTGTAGTTAGTGAATGAGTGATAAACTTAATACATATCTAATATTTTTCTGCATTCCACAAATGGCGTTAAATATGCTAGGTGTCTAGTACTGCAGCTATTAAAGTTTACTAGAGAATCATTTAGCGGTGTAATATTTACAGACTGATCAAGAAGATAACTTATTATTGCTTGTCATGTCGTGTGTCATCATTATATTAAGTTGCTAATAGCAAATGCTACAAGCCAGATAAGTTTTCTTTGGGTAACAGATTTTACTAAGTAATAAAAGCTTACTTGATTTCAAGGTTCCGTCGTCGTACAAGTAACTCTTATAATTTCTAGTCAATATCATAATTTCAATTTAACGAAATTATATAAACAAAACTAGAATACACTTTATTATACCTTTTATTTTTAGATAATTATAGCGACGATCACTGTAGTTATACAACTTTAAGAAAAGTAAAAAAGAAATTTAAAAATACGTTTAATAAAACAGTATGGTCAAAACAGTGTTTCAATTAAAAACGTAGTTATTTTCCAGTGGAACCCTTAAGTCCTTTCAAATCGCATTTGACGAATTTTATTAAAATACGATAAATACACGCTCAGCAATGCAAAGAGAAAGTGTTAAATCCTCAGGATTCATGTTTATCGCTTTATGGAATCTCAATGCGACAAAGCATTCTATGAGATGATCTGAAGATTTCGGGCAAGATATTCGGCTCACAGAACTTAAAGAGCTGTAAACTACGATATTAAAAGAATGGGAGACTATATCATAAATATTTTCGTCACTATATTGATCAGATAAAATGAGGAATAGGCTGACGGCAGTTATTTGACAAAGAGACAAAAATGTTATTATTGAGAAAAATAATTTATTAAACGTTTTTAATTGTAACAAAACCCATAATGTTTAATGTTTAGTACCCATGTTTAGTATGTTGTCTTGATTTTTAGTAATGCATAGTATGTAGTGTAGCATATTTTTTTTTCATAAGAATAGAAAAGAGAGGCAAAATTACACTATAATTTAATAAAATTACGTAGTATTACATATCGTGTAATTTTCGGTAAATCCCTAAGTGTTAAAAGTTAAAGTTACAGCCTATATACGTCCCACTGCTGGGTATAGGCCTCCTCTCCTTTCTGAGACGGTTTTAGGCAATGAAGTGTCCGCCGCGTTGCTCCAATGCTTTTTGACGGACTTCACAAGTCTTCGAAATATGATTTTTGAAAACTTGCCGGTTTCCTTACGATGTATCCCTTTACCGCCGAGCACGTGGTAAATCAGCACTTAAAATTACAATTAACAATTTCATGGGTGCCGGCGGGGATCGAACACGGGTTGCTCGCGTACTGTGAAATTTACAGAAAGCGCAAAGCCTCAGAGATATCACGACTAAGTGTATTTGATTAATAGTTGTAAGACTTTTATATTATCGAAGTAATATAATTAGATGAGACGAATAAAACATTCGAAGGTTCTTCCCCTTAAGAATGACACAAAGCTGAGCCATTTGTATCCATCAACTTCTTGCATCTCTTACAAGGTCGTCACTCCATCTAGCGAACAGCCGTCTTATACTTCGCTAACAAATAGATACGAGGCTGCCACTCGAGAACCTTCCCATCGGATGCCGGTTCTTCGAGCTATATGGCCGGACCCACTGCCATTTATTTACTGATCCGTTGCGCTACATCGGTTACTCTGGTTATACTGCGGATATCTTTATTGCGAAGTCTATCTCGCAGTGAAACTTCAAGCATAGCCCACTCCATACCTCGCTGTTCGACCTTGAATTTTATCATACAAACAGCAGTGCACGACCACGACTCAGATCCATATGTCATTACTGGCAACACGCACTGTTTGTATTATTTTATTTTCAGAAGTAAATGTGACGAGAAGATGTGTTGCTTGGTCGAATTTGGACTTACATAGGTGGACAATTTGTCTTAACATACTCGTCAATGACTTCGAGCGTAGTGCTTCCAACAACTTCCAACTTCTTCCAACAACCAGCATGGGTGTGAAATGGACGTTACACATAATCTTTCTTTAGTACGTTCATTTTAATATCTATCAGTTGTGAGGCACTATTGAGGTTATTGAGCATAGTGCTGAGATTGTTTTTATTTAATGACTATTTCGGCGACAAATTAAAAATGTTTGATGCACTGACCATTGATGTTGATATCGTGTCCTTTCAAGTCCCGTAGCTTGAAAACGTATTCCATTGTAGAAATTGCAATTAAGATTGAATAAGCAATGAAACTTCTATTTATAATCTAAGTAGTGATTTTTCAGGTGGTCAGCGGTAAAGAAACACTTCGTGAGGAAACCTGAATGTCTGAGGATGAAATTTTTTAAAGACATATTAAATCGCTCTATAACTCTCCCAGATATGAAAGGAGGCCTGTGCTCTGCCGTCAGACGTATTAAGGCTATAGTAAACTATTTTTTTATATTGAACGAACTAGAAGGAACTTATAAATTTAGTAATTTTTTAAATATTTATTAAAAAATTATTATAAGAAGAATAATATCCAGTCCAGTAAACGATTATCTTGGAAACAATGTGTATTCAGACCGATAATTCATTTCTTTACAGCTTTACACATTGTATAATTAACTTCTTAAGTAGGTACAAGAACAATTGAAATACGAGCTATGAGAACTGATTCGACTTTGAACTGAATAAGTCTCAAGGTCATCGGGTCGCAAATTACATTTGACGATATTACGAACCTTTTCAACACAGTTTATTACCATAGTTTAAAAAATGTTATTACTTATTCTACTACGGTATATGTTGTATAGCTTTTTATGATACAAAATACTAGTAAAATCCTAGTGCAAAGTATAAACAAGGCTCCATAAATATTTATTAAATATATTGAGTTTGTATGCCCCACTGTTTAAATTTATTAATAGAATTATCATATACAAATGAAGGAGAACAAATTTAAAGTCATTCAGTCAAATCTGCTGTCTCTGTCTACCACATGAATTGCAGATAAACATTTTATCATCCTATCAGTATCGGTAGATTATTTAATCACAGCACATGGATAAATAGCTCAGTGTTGAAAGATAATGTGGAGATTAATTATTGTTATCATTCTAATTTTATTTCATTTGGAATCAGGAGGGAATCGCGTACGCAGCACGGACATCACTACAATTGAGAATCACTTGACACACTCTTCACACTTGGTTTTATTAGTTGACTAGGTTATAAAATATCCATAACTACATATTGCCGTAACATGTTAATGTTATTACACAATACAATGTTTTTATTTTGTATCACATGGAAATATTACCCTGTACTATTATGTATTCTGTGGTGTTACAAGGTACGTCCTCGTAGTTCAAACATTGAAAATAAAAACTATGTTCAAAAACCGGTTATGTGCAACGACTGGAAATAACGTTACTGACATTGACTGCTTATTTTCCTTGAATAAATGGTGATTATTTATAAGACGACTACGTTATACTTATGAAATGTATAAATTTTATTGTCGAAAGTAACTTTTAAATAAATTTTGACTGCACATATACCTATGACAACACTATGTTTATAAAATAATTTTGTAATAGACGCTTACCAGGTCCGTAAAATCTCTTTCCTCTTGTGACATCAAATATCACACCATTTACTGCTAAAAGTACTCTGCCGTCAGGTCCTGTGCCGTCATATTTTTTTAATTCAGCAACTGTTAAATCTTTACGAAGCTTCGGCATAGGCGGCGGTGGAGGCGCCGCTGGTGTCACTGTTTCAAAATGAGACCTTAGGATTTTGTAAAGAAGATACACAATAATAGCAATTAATACTAAATTAACAGGGCTCGTTAGTTCGTCCCAGAAACTAGAAGTGGCCCCTTCGGTGCTCGCCATGTTTTATTTAAAACGCGTCTACAGGCTACGGCAAGTCGCCACAAACTGAATCAGTGAATCACATTATCATGTACGCTGTATGTCTAAGGTCAACCGTATCTGTTATTATTATTGATGTTAAGGAATTACTACTCTATCGCAACTTATAAACGCACGCGCACATGAAGTGTTTTGTTTCATTTGGCTGGTAAAACCTTGTTGTTATGTAACATTATTTAATAAAAACAATATTGCTTGAATTAAATACATCCAAAATATGAAAAACTGTAACAGAATCCATTGTCTTACTTAATATTAATGTCGTAGGTATATGAAATAATAAGAAACAAAAAACTTTAAGATGGCGGAATTATCGTTAGAGCAATATTAAATAAAAATATATAGAAAAGACGATGATGATAAGCACCTGATGATGTGATCACCTGCTTCCTGTGATAATAAATTTGTGAACTTTGAGGGTTTTTTTTTCATAGAATATAGGTGAAAAACGAACACACAGACCACCTGATAGTGAGTGGATGCTGTGGCTTGGGCCATTATCGTTTATAGAGACATCTACATTTATGTTCTATTATTACTTATTAATCGATTAATAATCAAAATGCAGATGAGGAATAGGATATACTGCCTCGTTTCTATTAAAAAGGTCTCCGGTTCTTTTCACGCACCATACGAAACACAGCAGCATTAAGCTGCTATTTTACCAAAGACATTTAAGTACCTAGTAGTTAAATCTGCTTTTTTCTCCCAACTACCGTGACAAAGTTTCAAATCTGTATCTATTATAGTTTATGAAATATTATAACAGTAAACGCGCGAATCGTAGTTAATAGAAATCAGTCACCAAGGTAAATTTACAAAGTGCAGATAATATGTTCTACCAAGGGCTAATAATATATGTAATCCTCAAAGTCAGTTGTAAACATGCGAATATTGGGTCTATTCGTGTTTTTAACCATGGTCAACTTACCTAAGTGCCATATTCGTGAAATGGTTATGGTATGATTTTCACTACAAATTATCTGATGGTCTATGATCAATTAACCTATACACATCACATTCGCATTATTGCTATGGCATAACTTACGTTCTAACAATTGATTTGACGATGATGAACTAACAATTCTCTCACTTTCGTATATTTGATGTTGCAGCACGTATTGAATGGACCATAGGCAATTATGCTAAATATCTTCTTATAATTTCTCCGATAATATTTGCATCTTTAACTAAATTATTAGGAATAAATTTTACTGATTATTGTACATTTGTAACCATTAGTTAAAAGTACAGCTTTTCTAGTCAGCTTGACTTTGCTAAAAGTCACACAAGGATTATACTACGTACTACTACTATCCGACGGCTCCATGGCGCAGTGGCTTAGCATTGAGTTCCAGCGCTAAGGGCCGCGGGTTCGAATCCCGCTCGGAACAAGTATTTGTTTGGCCTACAGGTATTTGTTCCGGATCTGGATGTTAGTTTTCGTGAAATTTATGTATGTAAAATGCCCCTAAGATACATGAGAAATCCTAGAGTGGAGGTAACGTTTAATAAAAAAGGAGGAAAAAATAGAAAACTTTACTACTCTCTGACTCTGAATAAACCATGTGATTTAGGTATTAATGTTTTAGGAAAATTATTTTTCTCGTAATTTGTCACAAACAAGTACAACAGTAACAAATATAACAAAAGAAAAAAAGATTTAAAAAAAAGAGTACAATTCAAATGGGATGTGAAAAATACAGAAAAGTATTCAGGTCTTCAGATGGACTGTGTTCTCTTTTATCACCTTTATCCTATAAAAAAGAACACTCTGCAGATACAGACTCCAAAAGCAGCCGCTGGCCCATATTTTTATGCACGTAAGCTGCTAGCACTAGTAGTATACGATTTAACATTGTATAACTGGGGAAACCAAAATATCGATCGCTATACCTGGGATGGGACTCAAAGCAAGCGAAGAAGAGTAGAACGACATCTGTGTTAGTTACAACCTAAATATGTCATACTGCTGGGCACAGGCCTCCTCTTATTTCTGAGAGGAATTCAGGGCAGGGAAATGTACCCCGCGCTGCCCCAATGCGTGTTGGCGAATTTCACGTCTGCTAAACATTTTTTCTTATTTCCCAGACATGCAGGTTTCCTCTTGATATTTTCCTTCACTGCCTAGCACGTGGCGAACCAAAACTTAAAATTATAACTAACAATTTCATTGATGCCGGCGGGGATCGAACCCGGGTTTCTCGCATTAAATGTACAGCGAGCGCTTAGCTCCTGAGCTACCACGGCACTCAACATCTGTCTATGAATAGAATACTAAATCAACTTATGAGACGTGATAATGGAGTCACACAATTACATTGGAAAACTAAAAAAATCAACTTTATTTATAAAAAATAATTAAAAACTAAAAATTTTGTACAGACTTCAATATAAGCGACTTCAATATAAGTTATTTAAGAATAACTCAATAACCATTGGTCTGACCTTGATCAAATTCATATTGGACACGAGAACTTATACTTATATTTTATACACTTATATGTTAATTGTTAACTGTTACTTATAGCAAATTTCTATTAACTAGTGTTATGTTAATTATTAAGTACGCACGCTGCTACCTACTTGCTTTAAATAAAACTATTTCTCTTTCCCAATAGGTTTGCTGGAAGAGAACTCTTATTAGGGTTAAGCTCGCCTTTGTACATTTTATTTAAATATATAATAATTGTTACCAACGTATAGTGTGTACAATAAAGAATAAAGAAAGAAAGAGAACTATCAGCTTTCATATAAAAAAAGAATCATCGAAATCGGTTCCCCCAGTACAATGTTATGAGGTTAACACATATAAAAAAAAACATACACTCGAATTGAGTACCGTCTCCTTTTTGGAATTCGGCAGAAAAAACACAAAAAAGTCAGCAAACCCTTCCTTAAGTTCCAAAGTTTCAAGATGCAACATGGGTTCAATATCATTCGATATAAAAACCCGAAATCAATTTTATATAAATTTATAACAAAAGTGCAGGGTTCACAAAGTTAAAACTGAAGGCAAAGAAAGGGAAAAGTAATTTTATTATACCCTAATCTGCCTACAGTGGTCGATTGACCACTGTAGGCAGATTAGGGTAGGCCTATTTCAAAGACGAAAAAGTCAGATTTAATAAAATTTTGCCAGGAACTATCATCAATATTATGAAAACATGCCAGTATCTGAAACAGTGGCAGATCGTTTACCAGAACCTGCAATGAAGAAGACGATGAAGAAGATTGTATATTTAGGATTCAACTTTCTTCATCTTTTTTTAAATACTAACTGTTCCTCGTGACTTCGCTCGCGTGTTATTTGGGGTTTTAACTTTTTTGCGCGGTCTCCTAATTCTTTTTTAAAATAAAAGTAGCCTAAGTTACTCCTTATGACATCTGCCAGTGAAAATCCCGTCAAAATCGGTCCAGCCGTTTCGGAGATTAGCCGGAACAAACTGACAGACAGACAGACAAAAACTTTAAAAATTGAATTTTTGTTTTAGTACCGTATATAATATACTTTCATTTGCATTTAGTAAAAAGCTGTAATTTTGACATTACAGACTTCAATTTTATCAATCAAAATCAATATCTTATATATATAAAATTCAATTATATCTTCAAGTTACTTACAAAAACCTAGCTCTTTTTATAATCTAGAATTCGAAAAAACAATAAAATAAGAAATAAGTTAGAAAATCGATTGTATTAATACAATCGGTTTTATATTTATTCGGACAAAAATAAATTGAAAAAGCTTACAAGGTCTCATTAAAATTCTATTATTCACTTTGAATAATAGAAACGAGCATTGAGTTATATATACGAGACGATTCATTTCTACCGCGTGTGAAATGCACACATGTTTTATTTTTTATTTTGTAGATATATTCACAATATTTTATCGAAAATAAATATTAAAATGCTGAATTTAATCGAGAATCGATTATGCTGGGCTCTTTTAAATCAAATCGAAAATCGGTCTTTTCCTTTTGAGTGAATATTTTTGAAGTTTGAACTGTCAAGTTTCAAAATGTAAAAATAATTTAAAAGAAGAAGAAAAGTATTTTATTGGTAGGTAGCATAAACTAATAAGAAGTACTAGTGGTATTAGGTAGCGTTCAGAAACGAGAATTTCACTTGTGTATTCTTTGTGGTAATAGATTTATTGCCATAAAATGTTTATTTCTTTTTTCTTTATGCTAATAATATATTTTATTTGCAAATGAAAATATATCATTTAAAGTAAATAATATAATTTTAATGAAACCTTGGAAGCTTTTTAATTATTATTTTTGGATCAGACTAAATATAAAATCGATTGCATCAATAGAATTGATTTTATTTCTTATTTTATTGTTTTTTGTAAATGCAGATTGTAAAACTACCTAGTTTTTTGTATTTAACTTTAGAAATATATAGCTAAGTTTTTAAAATATAAATTACTTAGTAAACTTCAGGCCCACGAAATCCCATTCTCCTTTAATCTTATCCCAAAACTATATCATAAAAACTACAAAATAAATACAATAAGCAAAAATTTATTTTCTTGAGTTTTTCTCACAATTTTTTTTAACAAAGATTTTTGTTCCCGCACTAGGACTTTTTTGTAGGCCATAAAAATTGTTAGTTAATTTTATGTCCGGAATTCGAACCCGTGGTCCTCAGCGCCTAAACTCCATGCTAAGCCAATGCACCACGAAGCCGTTAATTACATAATAAAGGCTCGGTTTAATAAATCTGGTATTGCAGAAGTTTTTTTAGGTATAAAATAAGGGACAAACGAGCACACAGCCCATTTAATGAAAGTGGATTCTGTGGCACATAGACATCTACAAGTATCTTCGATTAGTAATCGGAATAAAGATGCGTTGTCATTCTCGAGGACTTAGATGGAATACCTCGTTACCAGTAAAAAGAGTGTCCGGTTCCCTACACTCACTATAGGAAACACAGAAGCTTCTAGCGTC